GGGGGGGGGGGGGGGAGGGAGAGGACGAGGATGCAGGGGAGGCGGTGGTGGTGAACTTCGATGACAAGGGCACTCCGGAGGAAAGCCCCGGTTCCACCGCCTCGGGCACAGAAGAGGAAAAGCAGGAGGAAAAAAGTGGGAGGAAATGGTGGAGACCGACACAGATCAAGGAGAAAATCCTTTCCTTCGTCGTCGGCATTGTGCACGGGGTGGCGGGTCCGGGGGGTATCCTCGGTGTCCTCCCTGCCGTCCAACTCCGGGACTGGAGCAAATCCTCTTTGTACTTGGCTACCTTTTGCATCATCTCTTCTGTGACAATGGGGGTGTTCGCGGCCATCTACGGCGGGATCACGCACGGGCTGGGCAAGCGCATGGGGGAACACGACAAAAAGAGCGGAAAACAGCGGGCGGAAAAATTGGAGTTTGGCCTGAAGATATTCAGCGCCCTCCTCTCTTTTGTCGTGGGTGTACTCTGGATCGTCTTGTCGGCGACGGGTAAGATGGGGGAGGTCTTTCCCGAGTAGAGGGAGGGAGAAAAGGGGGGGGACATGGGCGGGAGGAGGGAGGGAAAGGAGCCGGTTGTCAGAACGCTTCCCCAGGAGGGCGATGGTACACGCCGAGAATCCGCAAGGAGTCCTTTTTCGTCTTTAGGAAAGGCCTTGTTAAGGATAACATCCGTCGGCCAGGGAGGGCAAAACAAGCTTGGCCGAGAAGGAGAGAGGGAGAAAGCAGAGACGGTGAAGGAGCGGTTACCGAGGCGGCGGACCCGTCTCATCTGTGGTGGTGCCACAGAGCAATGAATTGGGTCGCAAAGAATGGAACGGCTGGAGCTCAATCCCGAGTGGGGGTGTCAAGAGAGCAGTCGTCAGGCAAAGGCACAATCGGTAGCTTTCCATGATAGCACCTGATAGCACCCCAGGCCTTGCGTCTCTCAAATAAATCAAAGTACTGAAAATTAGCAAATTATCAGGCATGGGGAGGAAGTAAAGATCACGAAAGTAAGTAAATAGAAAACGGAGACCCTTGGAACGGTTTTCTTTCTGGGCAGGCAAGGAATCCTATCAATGCGAACTTTTCTGGCGCAGAGAGGGATGTTCTGCCTTGAGAAACCCTTCTTGTCGTTGCATCCTCATTCGCGCTCTTAATCTTTCTCGTCCTCTTGCCCCCTCGACGCCACGCATCCTATTCTCTTTTCGCCCCCTTCGCCTCCCTGTGCTACCTCGGCTCGCATCTAGTTGCTGGGGGCGGTTTTCCTCCACGACACTCGGAGTCGCTGCATGTGCTCGTCGAGAGTCTCGAAGCTGCCCTCTGAAGCCGTGTCCCTCCCACCTACACCCTCTTTCCCCCCGTGGGCATCCACATTCCGATGGGGAGGGAGGTGAGACGGCAAAGAGGAACTAGTGCCGGGGTGGAGGGGCAGGGAGGAAGGCAGCTGCGGTGTTGGCGATGGGCGGAAGGAGGACGCGGAGGGTAGAGGCACAGAGGAAGGAGGTGGGTGGGAGCGAGAGTCAGGGAGAGGAAGGAAGGAGAGCGGCCTCCCCGAGCCACTTTTCGCGGCGTGCCACGCCCGCGGTTCCTCCTGGATGGGACGCGAGGAAGGCAGCTTGCAAGGCAGCGTGGGCCCCGGTGCAAGCGGCCTGGTGACTGGCGCAGGAGGATGCGTGCTTTCTACCATGGGATAATAGGGTTCTTCGGGCCGGCGAAGCCTGTGGTTGACGGGTGCATGCTGCCCTTCCCTTTCCTGGGAGGCGCCTGGTCTTTGCTGCGGGCTTCTCGGCCGTCGTTT